CTCCACTATGGGTAGAGGCGGCTCCACCACAATTGGAGGCGGCTCTAATGTTTAGGGAGTCGGCTTCTTCAACATTTTTCAGTTTTTCGCCTTTTCAGTGATGGTTTTGGCTACGGGTTTCAGAATTTGGTGTTTTCAGATGCTATTAGGAGCTGTGCAGGGATGTTTCAGTAGCATCTAAGTCATATTAAAAATTCTGAGGGTGTGATAATACATAATATATTACAAAGAAATCGGTAGATTTAAACCGTTATAGTTTCAAGTGAACTTGTGGACTGTTTGTGGAGGCAGAGGATTTTAAATACATAACCTTATGAGTTGCAATTTATCTGGGAATGGAAATATTGTTTAATCGTGTTGCTGTAATTTAAATTAAGCATATTAGATTACAGAATGATTATATTTATAAGTGACAGTAAGACACTTTTAAGGAAGTTTACATGGTTGAAATTTTGTAAACGATTCAAGTTGATTAATTTTAAATTAGCAATTGAAATAGGAGTTTGACTTGAAAGTCATATAACAGTGGTATGAGACTAAGCCTATTAACTAATATAAATTCAGTTAATGCTTAATAGGAAACTAGTTGATATTTACCTATAACTGTTTATATCAACTTATGGAATGTTGTGGAGTAATCACAAGTAAGCATGTATATACTGTTGTTGTTACAATTATGCTTATTGTGAGTTACAGAATGATTATATTTATTTTTCTGCGTTTTAAATTGTAGAGAATTATATACTGGATGTATTAAACAAGCATGCTATTTATATATTCTTGTAATGCTTATATTTGATATGTTGATATTTACTGTCATTTATATTATTAACACTAGATGGATGAATTGTATGCACCGGTATGGGACGGTGACATACTAGGGGGATTAGCTCAAAACCGCTAAGTCCTACCTACTCTGGATTAAGGGATGGATTAACTACAAAAGTTAAGTCCTACCTGTATTTTGTGTCAGATCACTAAATAATTGAGTGACACTCTTGGTTTGGAATGGATTTTAAATATATTTTATGGTGCCACGATATGAGCCTGAGTCTCAGAGTCATTGGCTAGGGAGCATATATGCATTGGGATGTATAGCTGGCTACGATGGTTGGAGGTGTACCCTGTTTAGGTTAGGTACACATGCCCACTTCGTGTGCGTTTTAGCATGTTACCTCTATTCAGGTTGAGACCGGCCTGTAGTCTAGTGAGAGTCCTGTAGTGTGAATATATATATATATATATATATATATATATATATATATATATCTACGAACTATTTAGTTATTGTTGGATTGGTTAGAATGTATATGAGTATCGGGCCTCTGTTTGGATTATAGTAGTATAGAACTTGCGCGTGGGCCTGACCCACTTCTATTTTTCAGGTACACGACAGTTCCAAACTTAGACATGTTCGTGCTGAGCAGAGGTTTCTATTCACTCTACCGACGATGTAGGACTTTTCTTCGTAGCTTACTTCTGGATGTCGTATCAGTTATTTTTATTACTGTTTGGATTACTATTAGGGGTCCACTAGAGATGGATTCCCGAGTTGTACACTTGGAGGTTTTGGAGCTGGATTATTTAATCTTTATTATTTGAGGATTTTATTTTAGTTCTTTCAACTTAAACTTTATTTCTTAAATTCATTTTGTCATCTGTGTTCGTTAAAAAATATTAATTGTTTGATATTCCCTCGGATTTGGGCCTGGGCCTGATCAACCCGTGTCTCAGATCTGAGGGGTATCACAAAGGCTTACCCTTCTTTTCGAACCATTCTTTACGTTTCATGCAATCTTATGAAAATGTCCAGATTTGTTACAAAAATGACACTTATCATTCTTGCGTTCCTTCTTTTGAGCAGCTTGATCAAAATCCTTTATTTATGGTGTTGCTCACTTAATGTCTTTTCCAGGCCTTTTCCCAAATTTCTTTCTAGCTTATTGAGTCATGAGATGAACATTATGATTATCTTGTTGCTTAAGCCTTCATTTCTTCTAAAATAACATACTGGCCAATTCATTCACATTCCACTTGTCCTTAATAGTGTTATAGTGAATTTGAAATGACCTATACTGAGTAGGTAAGGAATTGAAAATAAATTGAACGAGAAAAGTCTCATCCACATTCATCCCTAAAGTTTTCAATTTCGCAACAAGATTAGTTATGTCAAGAATGTGTTTATACATACTACGAGTACCATCAAAACGCATAGTAGTGATGTCAGCCATTAATTTCCCTGCAAGAGACTTATCTGCAGTACGGAAACGTTCTTCAATAATTTTCAAATATTCCTTAGCACTATCAGTATGGGGAAGAGTTGTTTTTAATATTGTTTGCAATAGTCATTCGCATAAACATAATACTCAATCTGTTCGATTTCTCCCAAATTTTATGGAGAGTTTTTTCTTCCTCACTGCTTTCACCAGTAATAGCAGTAGGTTTATCAATTTGAAATGCTAAATCAAGATCTAGCACACCTGAATTGAACTGAACTTGGTCATTCCATTTTGAGAAGTTAGTCCATTGAGAATTGGAATAGACGAAGCATGCGAATTCACTTAAACAGGTAGAGATGTTGCAATAAAATAATCATAATAAGATAAATGCTCATAACATTAATACTTTGAGACAACAACACATATAAAAATAAATAAATACATTGTACAACTATGGTACCCCTTTGGGTAGTAACCATAAAATACAAAAAATGGTGCTTAAATATATTAATTTATATTATTTCATTGGTGATGCACTAATTAATTAAATAAACAAGTTACTTTTAGATATCCTATATCTATCTAATTAAAAATTACATACAACCCCTTAATGTTTATTTAACCACTTGAAAATTAATTCCTTTTGAAGAATTATTTCTAATAATTGAATAAACCTAATATTTATGAATATTATAAAATTATAAGCATCATTATTCATGAAATATTGCAATTATGTCTACCACTAAAATTAATATCCATTAACCATTATGGTTAGGCCACTTTGGTAGCTACCAACCTTTCTATAATATGAATATTAAATTATCTAGTGATAAATTCAATATTAAGTTACCCACCACATTATGTACACATAATTTATAAAGTCAATTAATTAAACTGCTAGTAGGTGTCCAAAAATTTCATAGATACATGTACTGTAGTGTATATTAATAAGCATATATTTAATCATGTACAAAATAAAAAGACATTATTAGTACAATTTAAGAACCTCGATTTGCGCAGCGGAATCAAAACAAAAAATTCATCCTGTATACAAATTATGCAGGATAAAGCAAAAAAACAATCTTTTTTAACTTGTTTTTTTTGTCTCATTATGATTATATATATATATATGTATACATACATGTATACACATATATACATGTATATATATATATATATATACATAAAAATAAAATATACAATCCAGTTTTTAAATTTTAAGTTCGTCAAAATCAACATAATATATATCAACACACATAAGTTCGGAAATCGAGGTATATAATTGTTTGAACAAACATATAACAAATAACACATCTGATCATTATACAGATTCTTGACACTAATTTAAAAACGGGTACACAAATTAGAAAAATTTGATCTGGCAGGCGGATCTCTATTAAAGCAGTGTTCGAATATAATAAATTAAAATTATATAATTATATAATTTTAATTTAAACTTAAACATATTATTTATGCAAGTATAATGGAAAAATAGTGAGTTCCAAAACTACGGGCTTTGATAACACATGTAAAAAACTCTAATTAATTTGTGTTAAACATTAATCACAAATAATCATAAATCCTTAGATCTTAGAATTTCAATTAATTTCACATCCTTATAACGCATAAATATATATAGTTAGATATACATATTTCGATTCATGATATCAAACCTTGTTGAGATTAAGTCCGACGTCCAAATCATTTAATCACGAACGAAGTTGCAACTCTGATCAACAGCAAAGGTGGAAACTGGTTTCTCTCTCTCTTGGCCTTTTGCATTCATAAATTTTTTATGTGTTGTATCATTAATGGTACATAATTGATAGAGTATATGCACTTTTATAAGGTAGAGGGATGACTAGTTTTCCTTATTAGTAACCTAGTTCCACTTTCCATCAAAATAAGGAATAAGAAAAGAAAATACTTTTCCAATAAATAATTACCAAAAAGGTAATTATACGTTGACCAAAAATAAATAATATTAATTGATATTTATTTATTTAGCAACCAAATAATATGTTACATGTCCAAATCCTGTGGAGCATAATTAAATAAATAATCTTACATAATACACTTATTCAGTCACAAACTTCAAGGACCATATCTAAGCCTAATTCTATCGGATAATACATGTCGGAGACCAACATTCTTCAGAAGCGATAGCAATGATGCATATTTTAAATTAAGATAATATCGTATGTGAATTAATTCTAAAAATTTATTATTGTTGATGATTGATTCTAAAAACAAGAGTCTATCTCATAAAGGTCCCGCAAGTCTGCAACATTCCTTTTACCTAGGATTAACATCTGGTCCACTGTAAATTACTACTACAATAATATTCAATGAATTGCAAAAAAAATAAAAAAGTCTCAATCTAAAAATTACTATTAGCACTCTGTATTCAATGAATTGCACCAAATAAATAATAATAATAAAAAACCCTATTTCGATGATATATTTTGAAACTTTTATTAATTAAGTAGTACTGTATCTTCTCCTATATTCCCGCAGTGGAGTCTTTTGTTTTTCTTTATTTATTTTATTCCTATTATAAACTCACAAGCTGGGTTGAAGTTGCAGGAGAACCGCTGTGTACTCAATTTTGATTGGTCATCGATGTGTGTAAAATAATTTGAGTCCACTCTCAAAGGTCAAATTTCAATTAAAATGTGCCAAGTGTCAGTAATACTACAGTTCTGGTGTGACCGGTACACACCATATGCCAGCTCTCACACACCTTCAAATATAGTATTTGCAGTTAAAAGAGTTATCACAAGACACCCAACCAAAAAGCTCTCTCCCCCCCACTCTCCGCCTACCGAGCATAGTCCTTCCCCGTCAATGGCGTCTGTACTGAACACAGTCTCGTCGATAAGATTATCGAATATCAAGACAAACCCACTTCGTATTCCGCCGATTCTCGCACCAATTTCTCTCTCTACTCGTAAGTTCATTTCTTCACATTCATTTCTCTAGCTTCTAACCTCTAATTCCCCCATTTACACTGGGAATAATATATGTGTGTATATATATGTATGTGTATTTATATGTATTGAACCTTCTCAGGTCGGAGGCTTACGGTCAGGGCAACAGAGACAGAAGCTAACGAAGGTATTTTGAACTTTGTGGGTACAAGATTTCTTTTCTGTTTCAATTAAATTCAAAATATAAATTAAGAGATTGGACTGAACTGTATTGGAAAAAATGAAATAAATACAACCTAACCCAACTATAGGATTATATTGGAGAAGGAATTTGAATTAAATGGAAGTTAACATGATTAATGGAAACAAAAACATACGTGCATACAGTAAAAGGAAAATTACAAAGTCAAATATTTGATCTTCTTGATTTATTTTCTCAATATGTATAAGAGTGAATGGAGTGGTAGATGTTGACTGGCTCTAAAGGGTTTCTAGTTCTTGATTTGTGTAGCAGTTAACGCTCAAGCTCCAGATAAGGCCCCTGTTGGGGGTGGTTCGAGCTTTAATCAGCTTCTTGGCATCAAAGGAGCCAAGCAAGAGTCGGTGAGTCATCAATGCTCGATTTTGTTTCTAATTTCTTATGAATTAACACAAGTTTGATAGTTAGTTCCTCAATATTCATTCTGAATTTGCATGTGTGCTTATAGTATTTATTTATTTGATTTTTGAGATTCAATAAAAAAATCCAAAAGGAATTTGAAAATAAAAATAAAAATGGGGGATCTATTTTCTATGTAAATGATGGTTATTTAGTTGACTTTTTTATTTTTATTTATTTATTTATTTTTTTGTACAGGATAAGTGGAAGATTCGTCTTCAACTTACAAAGCCTGTTACTTGGCCTCCATTGGTTTGGGGAGTGGTCTGTGGAGCTGCTGCTTCTGGTATGTCCTTTGTATGCTAGGATGATTAAAGCATTTTTGGCATAACGTTTGTACCTTTTTGCTGCTATATTTATGTTATTGTAGAAGTTGACCTCATAGCCACTTAGCAGTTCTGCTGGAGTGTATTTCAAGAGTTTCTCATACCAGTTTTCTATGCAGTCATCTAACATGCTTGTAGTATCTTGTTTAACACTTTATGGTACATTATTAGTGCAATTCTTGTCTGCCCCATCTCTCATATAAGCATTTAATTTGAGCTTGTTAATATGAAGAATCTGCTTTCAAGCATTTAAGCAAGACATTGATTGATATGTTGATGAGAGGGCATGTCTGTTACTCTGTGATGTATGTACATTTATATGCTTTTAGTATATTATCCAAGTCGATTATGAACAAACTCACTTCTGGATGCTTAATTAATGGCTTTCCTGAAAGACATGGTTAAAGAAGCACAAATTCTGTAACACTGTCTGTCTATAAAGTCTCTTATGACCAAATTTTGCTCCTGTTGCAGGAAACTTCCACTGGAATTTGGAAGATGTTGCCAAATCAATTGTTTGCATGATGATGTCTGGCCCATGTCTAACTGGCTATACACAGGTTAACTCTCATGGACATGAAGTTGGAGCTTGTTCCTGCTTGATGGACTGCTTCAAAATTCAAATTATGTAAGCATTTGTGTTTTCACTCTTGTAGACGCTCAATGATTGGTATGACAGAGAGATTGACGCTATTAACGAACCTTATCGTCCAATCCCTTCTGGGGCAATATCTGAGAACGAGGTATGCAAGGCAATTGTTTGTTGCATTATATGCATTCGAACATTGAAATTTACTTCATTTGTGATTGATTATTAATTCTTTTATATATATTTTCCCTGCAGGTGATTACTCAAATCTGGGTGCTGCTTTTAGCAGGCCTCGGGTTGGCTGGCTTATTAGATGTGTGGGTAGGTTTTTATATGTGAGGCCCATTTTTCACCTGCAATTTTTTTTAGGACGAATGTCATATCCTGAATACTTGCCCTTACAGGCAGGGCATAACTCTCCTGTAATATTTTACCTTGCTCTGGGCGGATCCTTACTGTCTTACATATATTCGGCTCCACCTTTAAAGGTTTTCTCCTTCTTTCCTTTCATTTTAGTCAATATATTTGATATCTTTAATGTTGAAGAAGAGAATATCCTTAAGACTGACTTCAATCCTTTTATTCTTGCAGCTCAAACAAAATGGATGGATTGGCAATTTTGCACTAGGAGCAAGCTATATCAGTTTGCCATGGTGTGGTATCTTCTTATTTACTGTCCTTTATATAATTAATAAAAAGAGATACTGAATACAATATGATTGACCAGAAAGAATGAGGGAAAGGAAAGCAAAAATGCTTGTGAAAGACTACTTTTCTCAAGCATTTTCTAATAATTTCCTTTCCTTTTCATCTGCTTGTGCAACTACCCACTATGTTATGGTTGCATACACAACTAAATCCTAAATAAGTGATGACCTGACATGCTTATAACCGTTGGATGATGGTTTGCAGAGAAAAACTAGTGGAGAGGATCCAAATCCCTACTACACTACCCTTATTTTGTTTTTAGGAATTGAATCCACAAGGTATATGAGAGACCAGAAAGAATAAGGGAAAGGAAAAAAATGCTTATGAAAGACTACTTTTCTCAAGCATTTTCTAATAATTTACTTTCCTTTTCATCTGTACTTTTATCAACCAAATAGGAGCTGCTTTTTTAGTTGTTGATGCTACAACAACAGGGCCGTATATCCCTACTAAATTTCCATACAAGCCCTCTTGGATATACTACAGGTTGAATGTCTAGTGCTTTTTAACTTGTTGACGTTACAACAACAGGGCCGTATATCCCTACTAATTTCCATACAAGCCCTCTAGGACATATTACAGATTGAATTTCTAGTGTTTCAGTCTTTAGTATGAGCGGTTGGGTTCACCACTCCACAAGATTATGCCATTTATGTATCTGTATGCCTTTTGGGGCCATTGCTTGTTGCAACAACAAAAACTTGAGCTGCCAAGCAATCAAGCATAAATGTTCAGATTCAAGTTTGAGGTTTGCCACTTGAACCACTTTATGCTAATAATGCGGCATACCACAAAATAGGTCTATACCCAGTCTCCAGCACCCTACGTTAGTGGGACCAGTAGTGGATGATGCCTTTTTTATCTATTAATCCGAGGGTACTAAGAAAATCTCATGGGTTTAATGTACTTCTTTTTGGCTGCATTATGCTATTTAATGCAAGAAGTTCTAAATGGTTCTTCACTCTGTTGTAAAAAGTCCTGCTTCAATTTTTAATGATAGGTGGGCTGGTCAAGCTTTGTTTGGGACTCTTACGCCTGACATAATTGTTCTCACTCTCTTGTACAGCATAGCCGGGGTATGCATTTTGGACATGCATCTTTGCATACATTTTACATGACATGAACCAGACTAATTTATATATATATTTTTTCACATTTAAGCTGGGTATCGCCATCGTAAATGACTTTAAAAGTGTTGAAGGGGATAGAGCACTTGGACTTCAGGTTTTCTCCATTAATTTTTTTGGGATACTATATGAATCTTTTACCATCTGTAAATTTCCCTGTAAATTGTTGTAACCTTTGTATGATATTGCTGTTTGACCAGTCACTTCCAGTAGCATTTGGCTCTGAGACTGCTAAATGGATTTGTGTTGGTGCTATTGACGTTACTCAACTCTCTGTGGCTGGTACGTCACTATTGTTTATATCTGATAACAATGTCTCAACAACATCTAGTTGCCGCTATTATGTTAAACTGAAGACCTTCTACAAACAAAAAATATGGTAATTAATGATTCCTTTAATTAGATTGGAACGTCACTGAGAATTCATTTGGAGCTTGGAAAGAGCAAAGAAAATAATGTTTTTTTTGTAAATTATTATTTTTCCCGATAGTTAAATTAAAATTTGCTCCATGATCCATCAGATGTTACATTTTCCTATCTTTTTGCTGGTTCTTTCCAAGCTCCAAAAGGAGCTTTTAGTGTTTTGATGGAAATCAACCTTTTGCACTGGTTGTCAGGATTTGTTGTGCTGCATTCTTGTGACCACTCATACCCCTTCAGAAAGGATGGCAATGGCGCTTGACCATCTTTTCAAGCTAGCTTAGACTTGTGTCATGCTCACAAGCCCCAGAAACTAGTTTATGCACTTCTTGGTACATCAGGTATTGAGAAGTATAGGAGTGCAACCCTAGGCTCTGATGTAGAGTTAGTGCAAGGCTGTGCACACTTTGATATATGTATTTTAATATTAGTTTTGACCAATTTAAACCAATTAATTAATCATGCTTATTTCAAATCATCATCTAACCAGACAATCTAGACCACAAAACAATAAAGAAAAGTAAATTAAAGACAAAGATTCATGTGAAAAACCCCAATGGAAAAGCCATGGGACCTAGTTCAGGCAGATCAAATTGATTATGAGAAAAAAAAAAATTACAACTAGATTACCAGTTACCCAAACTCTAGAAAAACCCCAATCATCTTGTGTGACGCCAAAATTTTCATTCGAGTCTCTGGACTGTCTACCCCGACAACAGATCCGCTTTGCCAACTCATAATTTGGTCTCCAATGACTAGTTGTTCTATCTTTTGATGCGCAGGTGTTATGGTTGATCAATCTTCAAGTATTGAATGAAGCTCCTTGCTTAGGACTGAATCGCACAATATAATAGGGTATCTATGAAGAACCTCATTGTGATTGAAAAATAAGGCCTCCCAGTCTCTTTCACTATTGTGTAGTTGTATCTCTTATGTTTTTCTTATATTTAGACTTTATCTCACATTCCAGGCGAGTCAAAAGACTGATTAAGACAGACCTCCTAGGACACCTTTCTGTAGTATTGTAGAGATTAAAAATTGATTAGGAATATTAGGAAAGTCTAGAATCCTTTTTAGCCTTGGAAACACATATTTTACCAACTTTGGCTGTCCTTTTGATTGATTGATCGACAAATCAATCAACACGTTCTGGATTTGCTTCGATCAATCAAGCTTTCGGTCGAGCTATTTTGGTCTAAATTCGATTGATTGATCGAGCTCTTCTGTTGAATCTAACCGCACACAACCTTCGAATTCTTTGTTGAGGGGTCACAAGGATTTGAAATTAGGCATATGAAATTATATCTATTTAGTACTCGTATGCTGGATCATTTTACAATAATAAATGTCTAAACACACAATGTGCTCTTTACTCCTGTTTGTACTATTTAGATAAAAACTCTATCAATCTTTTACATCAATGCTCAATGTTAATGTATATTGAAAATGAATCGGGATAAGATTTCATGAAGAGCATGAATGTTCTATTCGCTTTGAATTTATGGTGGCGAAACATGATTGCATGAAGTACTCAATTTTAACTAATAAATCATGTTTTCTTGTTGTAAGATGTGGAATACATCAAGTTACATTTTTCGGGTAGCTAATTATTTTTATTATTGCTTGTGGAGGTGCTCATTGCAGTATTCTTTCATGGTTGCAGGTTACCTTCTAGGAGCTGGCAAACCATATTATGCCTTAGCTCTTCTAGGTTTAATCATTCCACAAGTCTTTTTCCAGGTAAAGAACATGCTGTTATTGCTTACGATTAGTGTGCCAAGTAATTATATTGATAAAATACGTTGTCTGGGACAGTTATTTTAAAAACCCATTTCTATAATCTCAAATTTGATCTCAGAACTCAACAGTTCTGGAGGCTGGAAAACATTCCCTGTACACATTGTTTTTGTTGAACCGAGAATTGAAGTCATTCCTGCAGAAATGCTCTGAGTAGTAACTAGTCTTTGTGTTGAAATATTTTTTATATGCCTATATATGTGAATGTATTGACATGGACTTCAATGCCAGAGATGATAACCAAAAAGCTGTTTCTTCAATATATATGTATCTACTGATTTTGTGATTAGCGTAGTTCATTTATATTAGTGTTTCTTGTTCTACTGTGATTGGGCAGGTTGTAACCTCTTGCATTTATCTGAGTAGTGAATTCCAAACATGGTAAAAAATATATATATATATTGTAACTACCAGAAAATATAAAAGTGAATTATCTAGTGTATATCCCACCTATGTGGGGTGTTGGGTAGGGAAGATTACAAACCTAACCTTTGGCATGATTTGACAAAGTGAACTGCTCTTGGACTGAAACCTGCTTTCTCACACTTGTATTATAGGAAGGAAAAATTTAATAATGGCCCATTCATAGGGGGCTTGGTGCAAAGACAAGTGAAAATCTGAAAAACTGTAAAAACACGAGTTGCAAATCACCATTTACCTTTGAATTTCAGGAAATTGCAAAGATTGATAGAACTAGTGAGTTCATTTAGTTTTGTAGAAGAGGAATTACAGTTTGAGTAGTCTTTAAACAAGATCCTAGTTGCAAAAGTTGTTTTTGTCGTGGTTGATAATTTTTATAAGTAATACTAAGAAATTACAGATTTATCTTTTGTGCTTCCAATCATGTTTCTTCGTTGCCACCTCCTTAGAAAATGATTTTTGCGAACATACTTATGCGGCCTGCTCATTCTAACAATCACTGAATCTACAATTGCAGTTCAAGTACTTCCTCAAAGACCCAGTTAAATATGATGTCAAATATCAGGTATCTCTTCTTCCCCATGGCATGAACTATGAAGAATTTAGTTCTTTCTTCTTCTTCTTCTTCTATTTTTTCTTTTTGTCACATTTTTTCTTCTGGGAAAGAACTTTTAGATGTACAAATATGCAACTGCTGAAACAAGTTCACTGCAACTGCAAAGTTGTTCTCTAGTTAATTACTGGGTCAATTGTGAAGAAAAAAGGGGTCACTTGTGAAGAAGAACAATCCCACGGAAAAAGGATTGTCCATTATGAAATATAATTAAAATATATTTATTTTGAAACAACAAGTGGTCCTGTTAGAATATATTGTAGAATATATTATTACTATATTGTAGAATATATTCTAATCATGTATAGGTTTACCATAGAAGGTTTAGGTTTCTTGTTCTCCATACATCTCGCCACCTATATAAACCCTCTGTATTTTCATATCTCATATACATCAATACAATGTACAGTTTATCTCTTTTATATCTAACAGGTCCTTGTTGCTAGGACTCAATAAGAAATAAAAAATATTTGAACTTGATTAAATTTCATCCAAATGTGGTAGTGAATGAGATGAACCATTCCAAATTCATTAAAATTACAGATAATAAAGTTTTGATTGAATTATGACCCATAGAAGAAAAAAGGATCAAAATAAATGATGAAAAAAAAACGACTTTCTACTTTGTGCTTGTGTTCAATGAGCAGCTATACACAACACAATCAAACATATGGTGTAGAGGGTCTGTTACTGATAGAACTCTTAACTTGATTATCGAAATTGATAGCATTTGAAAGTCAACGTTTGTCATATTTTATATTTCAGGCCAGTGCACAGCCATTTCTGATACTCGGTCTCCTAGTCACTGCTTTAGCAACTAGCCATTGATCTTCATGTGGGATTGATTATATAGCAGAAGAATAAGAACCAGAGACGCAGCAGAAGAGCACAGGTGATGATGATGATGATGATAGCCATTGATCTTCATTGTTGCCAATCTCCAATAGGTACAGTTCCTCACGACCATGTAACATGCAAAATGCGTCATAATTTAATCCTCTTTTCGAGCATGTCAATACAACAATCCACTGTAGGCAGGAGTGTGTAATATTTTCTACCCCTTTTTGTTTTGTTTTGTTTTTTTTTTTTGTTTTTTCCCTTTTGGAACTTCAATGTAACTTTGTAGATGCTTAATTACTCTCCCCCTATCTAAAGCTTTTGCTCTCTCATTCCAAATTGTTAGGATTGTATGAATTTAATTTTGAGATTAATTTTGTGGACAAATAGTTTTTTTGTGAGAGCCATGATATATTGTTTTCTTGAAAATATACATTTTACTAGTGTCTGGTGCTTTTTCTACAGATTAAGAATTTAATATTAAAGCAACATTTAGTACGTCATTCCACAACATATGATACAATAATATCATTAAAGTTCTGCCATCATACAGGAACCACCACCAACGTGTACTACAAGAACCAAAACACCAAAACAAGGAAACACTACCCAGCAGAGACTCGGACCAACACCACCATAACATCTACTACTGCTACCACAAGAAACTTCATTAAACACTTGTACAGACCTAATTACAAACAAGTTGAACAACCACAACTGCTTATCACTGCTTATATGCTTATTTAGGAACTTAAACTGTTAACATGTGAACTTATTAGTCCGTGAAACCAGGAGTTTGAAGCACAAAACATTTAGCGAGATGATGTTCTGAACTTGGACTCGTCGATTTCGATCCCTTCCTCCTCGGCACGCTCTCCACCGGACTTGTCATTGGTGCTCAGCCCCCCTTTCTTGCCCATTTCCTGGTACCCTTCTGTACCCATCTGCTCTTTCCTTGTCTGCCCTCCACGGCTTCCAAGCTCATGATACCCTTCTGTCCCTAGCTGCTCTTTCCTTGTCAGCCCTCCACGGCTCCTCCCTTCATCCAGTATAATCGTATAAGTGTATATCACAAACTACACGAGTGAGACATAAGCACAGCAGACTACTAAAACACTGAAAAAGAGATCATACCATCTCGGTTAATGTCTATTGTTATAAACTATCTTTTGTTAATTCTCTAAATATAATTGTACATATATATACACGCATGTCTGTGTGAGTGTGTGAGAGAGAAAGAGAGGAGAGAGACCTTCAGCAAGATGCTCTTGAGCTTCGAGGCTCTTACCGCCAGTGCCACCAGGGACAACAGTCTCTCCCTGCCTAGCCTTGGCATCAAGTTCAGACCTTTCTTCTCCGGATGCCATATTTATGATTAATAGAGTAGTGGTTGCTGTTTTCTCTCAAACTTTGTGGAAAACACTATTTAAGTTTGTATTACATATGCATGCCACTCCTAACCATGGTGACTATATATTTATTATATATACAGACACACAAATGTTGTTGGAGTGTGATCGAGGAAGCATAGAATTGAAGTTAGATGAACACGTAATGGGTAGACGCGGCACGCAGGGAAGCAAACGACCCGGGCTTTGGTGACACGCGGACTAAGTGGTGCTTAGTCAGTTCAAACAGGCTTTAAAAAAAATGCAAAAATAACTTTTAGGGGAAAAAAAAATGCAAAAAGAAGTGAAATTACATATTAGTCCACCAGTTCAATTGTAAGGACCAATAAGTCCTATAAAATTTTGTTAAGACAACTGTGTCCTACTTTGAGTAAATATTTTCAATTAAGTTCATAGTTATACTAACATTAGTTTTCTTCCAATATTTTACCCTTTTTATAAACATTTCATTAATATCATTTTTAAAATAAAAGATTTTTTTAAAAAAATTTTACTATCTTAGATTCATTTTTTTTTTTTTTTAACTATATATCACAGACCTAAATTTACGTATACTTTAAATTCTTGAAATTTGCTTATTTCCAACACAATACAAAATATAAAAAAGTGAAATATTTTAATAATTCATTAATTGTACATGAACACGCTTCATACAAAAAAAAAAAAAAAAAAGAAGTAGATTTTTTTAGGGATTGCTTAAAAATTTATTTATTTTATTATATTTGATTGAATTTAAATAACCTGTTGAATATTTTAAAATTTTGCTAATTTTGGTGCTAGTTAAAACTATATGCTTTTATTATTATTATTCAAAATTGATATTAATTACAAATTAAAGGTAAAGGGTATAGTTAGTACTGTATTTTAATAAGAAAATAAATTATTACTATTTTGTTACAAAATAATATTCTAAGTTCAGTTGTATGGAATTAGTGTCTTGGAATTATAATAGAAAAAAATTTAGTTCAAATTTAAATTAATTTTTTTCCAATTTCAATTTCACACAACCAAACATAGATTGATAAGAAAAGACAATATTAGTAAAAAAAAAAAAAAAAAATTGTTAATAAAATTTTAAACTTAGGTGGAAATATTTTAAAAAAGTAGGACTAAATGACTCTTTATAAAAAAAATTTAGAACTTATTTGTCGTTAAAACTAAAAATAACTAGTAATTTGATCCCAGAAGAATGGCACTTGATATATATAAATATATGTTAAAATTCCAGTTGGTTGTGTTCAATGTATTTAAGACTTTCGAAAATTTTCACATGCTAGCTCCGGGGTTCCACAGAAGCGTTGAGTCATTTGCATGACTCTACTTAGATTCGCTTAAATTCTATTAGATTAATATCAAATGCCCACACGTCTCGTCAAGTATTAAAATTATTTCAATTTAGTAATTAATAAAGAAAGCTTATGTTTTGTTGGGCTGGTTCGGTTCTCTTGGGACAACAGTCTTAACGTTTGTTCTTTTGGTCTCTAGCCCAGGGGCTCATGCCCCCAATATATTTGTATATTTTTCTCTCTTTTTTTATTTACCGAAAAAAAAAAAAAAAAATTCTTTTAAAATATTGAATTAAGCAAGCAAATCTATAATGCTTCCACTTCAGCAAGTGGCGCAATTGATGAGAGCAGACATGGGATTTAAGTGTTGGTTAATACATGATATCAGTTGACAAATTAGAGAGTTGGAGTAATTGTGATCGTCATGAATATAGAAGATACTACATGATAGCATGGCAGCTCTAATATAAATGATTTGTTTAGGGATTTTTGGGACACACCGATTTTCAATATTTTACTTTAATTCAGTCTCTCTTTCCCTTCTCTTCTGTTTCTCTCTCAACATTGCAAACGCGCTCATTGTAAATTAAGAGGAAGACAGAAGAGGAAGAGGCTTGTTTGGATAACGTACGTACTGTATTACTGCAGATAATACATACACACCCAATCGAGCTCTATGTATGGAATCATCAATTTAGGAAATGAGATGGACTTCCGTGTCCTTGAGGCAAAATTATGAAGTTGCTATGAAATCTATTGGCTATTGAATAGATGGTATGGAGTGGAACGTAGAATTAATACTAGAAACAAAATAGTACGTTAATATATGTGCCCAATCTTCTTTTCTTTCCTAAGAATATTAATCTGTCTAATCTATGATTCTATGCTGTCTTTAAGGACTCGGAAACTCTCTATATTCATGAGAAGTTTCGGCCGGCTGCGTTTTGTGAGGGCTACAAACTTTTGTTGACTGTACTGTACGTAGTTTAGGCTAGTGGATGATATATTGTATATAGACACAACTCCGTAAACTAGAGGTACAAAGTAAACTAGAGGGCCAAAAATGTTTGGTCATATTGGACTTTTGGGACGCGCATATGCATTCTCACATGCCATGTATCATAAAGTCATCAAAATACTATATATATTATATATGTATATATATATATGCATACCATGTATACCACCGAATGGTGTCATGTCAAGTGTCAACCCCTTAAATTCCACAAGATAGGTGCAACTTGTTGCACAAGGAAAAATAATGGTATCGGGTTGGTGAGTGAAGAATGGCAAGTGGACGACCAAGTTGGCTTGGATTTATGCCAAGTCAACCACTAAATTTATACACATATACAGAATCGTGTTCAGGCTCGATCTTTAGGTTTTGTCCCCACGTCCCAAGTCCAAACTGCACCAAATTTACCGCTATTGACATATATATATTTATATATGAGCAATAAATGTTCCTCGCTACTAACAAGTGGTCTTTAATTAATTAAAATGGCCAATACACTATCTCAATATCCATCCACAAACATGCTTCTGCATGTGTTCTTGTTCTGTCTATCATGGGCACTCCTCATGACACGGGCCAAAATGGAGGGAAACACCACCAGCACCAGCACCACTGCAGCCACCGCCTTCATGGTGACCAAGCCGGGCTGCCAACGCCAATGTGGTAACCTAACCGTTCCTTACCCATTCGGCATCGGTGAGGGAAAAGGTTGCTCCATTGGCACATGGTATGATTTCAACTGCAACACTTCATACAACCCTCCCAAGCTCTTCAAAGACGGACTCCAAATCCTAGCCATATCCGAAACCCAAATTCGCATTAGGAACGTTGTCGCCTACAAGTGCTACCATCAAAACGGTACAGTGGCCGAAGACTACTATGCATGGGTAGACCTTCTACCAACATCTCCCTACACCTTATCGGAGACAGCCAACAAGTTCACGGTCATCGGCTGCGATGACTCTAGTTTGATCTTTGGCTCATACGGTCGAAACTTCACTAGTGGGTGTGTGTCCCTGTGTTCCAAAAAGGAAGATGTGCTTGATGGGTATTGTTCTGGTATTGGTTGTTGCCAAACCTCCATACCAAGAGGTCTGAAGAAGTACCAACATTTGCTCGGTAGCTTGGCAAATCATACAAAAGTGTGGTCATTTGACCCTTGCAGCTATTCTTTCTTGGGCGAGCAAGACCGCTTCACATTCCGAGGTGCCTCCGATTTTTCTGATCCAAATTTCGGACAAAGGATTGTGGATACTGTTCCCATAGTGGTTGATTGGGTAATTGGGAATCAGAGTTGTAGTGAAGCCCGAAAATGGAACACTTTAGCGTGCCACACGAACAGCTATTGTGTCGACTCCGACATCGGCTATGGAGGTTACCGTTGCAGCTGCAATAATGGCTACGAGGGTAATCCTTACCTCAGCCCAGGATGTCAAGGTTGGTTTTCCGTTTATCACTGTGTTCTAACAAGTCTTGAGATGAGTAGTGATATTTAGTCTAAAAACTCAACTTCACAGTCTACATACATAGTTTAAACTTTTAGAGCAATTAGTAATTAACAAGTACATTAGTATTAATTAAGTTGTTTATTGTGAATTTGTGATGCTTCTTTGGACAGATATGAATGAGTGCGCAGATCCAAACAACAATCCCTGTAATGGGACTTGCATTAATACACCGGGAGGTTATAACTGTTCATGCCCACATGGATACTATGGGGACGGCAAAAAAGATGGGCGTGGTTGCATAGCCGAGAACTCAGAATTTCCGGTCATTAAGTTCTCTCTAGGTGATTTTCTCATAACCCTCTGCGTATGATATTCTAATCTTGTATTTTAAAGTTAATTTAAATTTTTAAACTGATTTTTTCCTAATTAAACAACACCGTCTTTGGCCCGGATAAAAATAAAATAAAATTTCCAAAATACCACTTTTATGTTCCATGATTCTTGACCTGTTTTTTACTACTAGTATATATCTTGCTTGAACTTGGCCAAAATAGTAGGACCATTCTCTAATTGTTTGGTATGGTTTCTCTAAAATGGCCACAGAGCTAGGAGTAATTTTATCTGAAATTTCTCACAGGTTTGAGCTTGGGCTTCTTGTCGTTACTCATTGGTATATCATGGCTATACTTTAGTATCAAAAAAAGGAAGCTTATTAAGCTCAGGGAGAAGTTCTTTCAACAAAATGGCGGTGTCTTGTTGAAACAACAAATTTCATCAAACGAGGGTGGTGTCGAGTCATCAAAAATATTTACTGCAGAAGAGCTAGAAAAAGCCACCAACAACTATGCTGAAGATCGCATCTTAGGCCGAGGCGGTTATGGTACTGTTTATAAAGGTGTTTTGACTGATCAATGTGTGGTTGCAATTAAGAAGTCACGAATAATGGATGAGAATCAAATTGAGCAATTCATCAACGAAGTGATCATTCTCACACAAGTTAACCATAGAAATGTGGTGAAACTCTTGGGGTGTTGTTTGGAGACCGAAGTCCCTCAATTGGTTTATGAATATGTAGCTAGTGGTACGCTCTTCCAACATATTCATAGCAAAGGTGGAATGTCGTTATCTTGGGACAATCGTTTAAGAATAGCTGCAGAAGCAGCAGGCGCACTCGCATATCTTCACTCAGCAGCTTCAATGCCCATCATTCACAGGGATGTTAAGTCTGCCAACATACTATTAGATGAACATTACACTACAAAAATATCAGACTTTGGCGCGTCGAGGTTGGTTCCACTAGACCAAACTCAAGTCACTACATTAGTTCAAGGGACATTGGGATACTTAGATCCTGAGTACTTTCATACAAGTCAATTGACAGAAAAGAGTGACGTTTATAGCTTTGGAGTAGTTCTTGCGGAACTCTTGACTGGACAAACACCCCTAAGCATGGAGAGAAGTCAAGAAGAAAGAAATTTAGCCACATATTTCATTATGTCGATGAAGCAAAACCGGTTGTTCCAAATTCTTGAGGCTCGACTAGTTAGAGAAGGGACATTGGAGCAACTTCAAACGGTTGCTGAACTTGTGAAAAGATGTCTTAATTTGACAAGTGATGAAAGGCCTACCATGAAAGAAGTGGCAATGGAGTTAGAAGGTTTGAGGAAGTTTACTAAACATCCGTGGGTTCATCAACAAAGCCATGAAGAGACTGTGGGCTTAACGAGTGAAGAACCGGATCTTTACACAGTCCAAATGAGCACTTACAGTATTAATGATGGGGAATCATCGGGACAATATAGTATGGATAGTCGGTTAATTGCTAATATAAATAGCCCCCGCTGATGGATAATTCACTTGTAATAAGGTCATGAAGTTCTTGTATTCAACTTTTTTTTTTTGCCTTTTTCTTTATTTTTCTTTTATGTTCCCATTTTTCAATTTTGTTATTCCTTTTTAAATGGTGAGTCTGGTAAGACCTTTATTTATTTATTTCTTTGAATCACTAATATTTTGTTATGATATCCTTAATGAATGTCATTTTCCTTCAATTAATTTCATTTTTTTTAGTGTTTGAATTGCCTTAGTTTTCCTCTATAATATGTGATCTCATGATGTAGTTTTTCTAATTTACGCCACAGAGGATTACAGGCCGACTAATTGTTAGCACCAAAGAGTTCGTACATGAGCCCAAAGGTGTGCCACGACCCAAACCATTCTTAACCCAGATTCTAACCCCTATAAAAGCCCAGAAATATGGGCCAAATCTTTTACCACTTCTTATGAATTATATTGTGAAAGCAACTTAAAAATGTCCGCGATCCAAACAATTATGGTCTTCACAACCTTATTTCCACACGCACAAAAGGTCACGAAACTGAGTTGGGTATGAGTTACCAGTTACCACGTATACTTTAAAAATGGAAATAACTTTTTTGCTGGTCAGTTAACTCCATTTGTTTGAATGTGAAATGTTTTTTAAACATATTTTTTTTATATTTTTTTAGTGTTTTCTTTTGAGCTACTCCACAGTGAGTAGCTTCACTCTACTCATTCACTTGTGTGTTCCAATAATAATTTGTCACATCAGCTTTAATAAAAAAATAACTCACGCCCTCTTATATTTTTTCGGATCAACCATTGAATAAACGTGAATTATTTTTTTTATTAAAGGTGATGTGGTAAATTGTTATTAGAACACACAAGGAGTAAGTAGGGTGCAGCTACTAAGCATTATTGAAAATTAAATAAAATATTTAGGAAGTAAAATATTTTATTAAAACTTAACAAAAGTAACTTACACATCAATTTTGAACCCACTCCGATAGACTTGACCTAAACTTTTATTAAAGATTAAAAAAAATTAAAAATATTTAATTTAAAAAAAAAACGAAGTATGACTACTCTTTAAAAATACAAACAATATATCTAAATTTAGAATAATTACATCTTGCACGGCAGACTTACCAAATTAAACTGGCAAACCAAACCAAACCAAGAAAACAAATATAAAGATAGAGACTTGAAAATAAAACTAAAACTCTGATGCCATTAAACAAATATAATGCATACTTGAGGCATGACATGGGTTAATTAAGACACAGTTGAGCTCAATCGTATTTACATAAAAGTTAAAAAATCCAATTAGCAAATAAGATGCACTTCCATGAAGATGGTGTACGTCGATGTAGCGACCTCTGTGGAATAGATGGTATGGAGCGAACGTGGAATTAATAGTAGAAGAAACAAAATAGTGAACGTGCCAAAATCTTTTCTTCCCTAAGAATGTGCCTAATCTATACCGCCTTTAAAGACTCCAAAGCTGGATATATTGAGAGGATTCGAAATCTCGGATGGGTTTTGCATGTGGTGCTACACTGTCATCGACTCATCGCTATGGATAATATATATATATATATATATATATATATATATATATATAGAGGCTCAACTCTTTAAACTGAAGGTAAAGAATTGATTAGAACATTGGACTTTTGGGGCTTGCTCACATGCCATATTGTCGTTCAATTATCATGATATTGACTCGTTCCTTGAGCCGCAAAACAAGCCCAAAGTCATCTAAAATTTAAATATTATATATATGTACCCAAAAGTTTAAGTCAACTTATGTAATTCCCATAAAGTCGTATTGTGTTTTTGTTGAATATCGGGACCATTTAGACATTTGTTCAATACTTTATATACTGTTTATATAAAAAAAAATTTAAATTTTATTATTTTAGACATTTAGTAACACTTTTGAGCATTTCGTCAATATTTTTCAGTATTTTTAACATAAGATTATTCGATAATTTTGAGAATAACATAAACACATTTTAAAGTGTTAAACTTTTTTCTTAAAAAAAAATAGCATTGTGTATATGATTACAAGTGAAACATAAACTGATACTAGCTTATTTATTTAAAACAAAAACATGCACTACTATTATGACAAAATAATAGAATATTTGATACATAATTTTATTTTCTAAATCATTTCTGATCAACTCTTAATATAGAAATAAGAAATAAATTAAAGTGAGCTTTTCTTACATGTATAAATGAATTGAAATATTTATTAAATAATTTACTTGACTTTTCACATATTTTAAAAGACTATCTCAATCGAGTTGTCTATTAAATAAGAAGAGTTTACTTCACTTGTCATGAAACGACTCTCATAATAGCCTTACTCAATTTCTTAATACTATCATCCAAAATCATGTTCAAATTGTATCCGTATCTATGCCTTACTTGTGTCTTCTTTTTAAAAATTTAACTTTATCAAAATATGTGTATTGTGTATCGCGTCCGTAAATGCTACTTATTAATATAATATATACTGTTGGTGATTGAGGGAACGAGTAACAAGCAAGTTGGCTACTATAAGTCAACCACTAAATTTATAAATATATACTGAATTTAGGTTCATTAGGTTTTCCCGCGTCCCAAGTCCAGCCTGCACCAAATTTCCTCATATTAACATACTTATACACAGATGTATATGTGTGTATATATATATATATGGTAATGGGCAATACATTCCTGATCAGTAAGTGGTCTTTAATTAAAATGGGCAATACACTCTCTCCATGTGCATCCTCAAACATGCTCCTGCATGTTTTATTGTTCTGTCTTTCATGGGTACTCCTCATGACACATGCCAAAATGGAGGGTAACACCACCACTACCACCAACACCACGGCGGCCACTGCCTTCATGGTGACCAAGCCGGGCTGCCAAAGCCAATGCGGAAACCTAACCGTTCCATACCCATTCGGCGTGGGAAAGGGTTGCTCCATTGGTTCATGGTATGATGTCAACTGCAACACTTCATACAACCCTCCAAAGCCCTTCATGGGCGGACTCGAAATCCTAGCCATATCCGAAACCCAAATGCGCACCACGAACGTTGTCGCCTCCAAGTGCTACAATCAAAATGGTTCAGTGGCCGTAGACTACTATGCATGGACAAACCTTCTACCAACATCCCCCTACACCTTCTCCGAGACGGCGAACAAGTTCACTGTCATCGGCTGCGATGACACAGCTTTGATCTCGGGGTCATACAGTCGAAACTTCACTAGCGGGTGTGTGTCCCTCTGTTCAAAAAAGGCGGATCTGCTTGATGGGTTTTGTTCAGGCATTGGTTGTTGTCAAACCTCCATACCAAAGGGTCTAAAGATGTACCAGCATTCGCTTGGTAGCTTGAGAAATCATACGACAGTGTGGTCATTTGACCCTTGCAGCTATTCTTTCTTGGGTGAGCAGGACCGCTTCACATTCCGGGGTGCCTCCGATTTTTCTGATCCAAATTTCATACAAAGGATTGTGGATACAGTTCCTATAGTGATTGATTGGGTAATCGGGAATCAGAGTTGTGGTGAAGCCCTAAAATGGAACACTTTAGCGTGCCAGAAGAATAGCTATTGTGTTGACTCCGACATTGGCTATGGAGGTTACCGTTGCAGCTGCAATAATGGTTACGAGGGTAATCCTTATCTCACTCCAGGATGTCAAGGTTGGTTTTCTATTTATCATTCTTTCATTACGTTTGGACAAAACCAAAAATCAAGAAACACGAGACAATAATTAAATCTGCATCACAAAACGCAAATTCCCATGCCCCAAATCTTATGTCTCTCACTTTCTACAAAATCACGTACTTTTAATGTTCTCACTTCACACCCCACAAATGATTGCACCCTTACTTTTATATATTGGGTTACAAGAGAGTTAATTTACAACCAGTGTTCACCACTAGATCCGCAAGATGGTAAAAAAATAAAAAATAAAAAATAGGGTCATAAGACTCGTAACCCCCATTTTCGGCTCCAGAACCACAACTTCACACTCTACTTAGTTTAAACTTTTAGAGCAGAAACTGATTAACACTTATATTTGTAATAAGTTATTTATTGTGATGTTTCTTTTGGCAGATATCAATGAGTGCTCAGATCCAAACAACAATCCCTGTAATGGGACTTGCATTAATACACAGGGAGGTTATAATTGTTCATGCCCACACGGATACTATGGGGATGGCAAAAAAGATGGGCGTGGTTGCATTGCTGAGAATTCACAATTCCCAGTCATTAAGTTCTCTCTAGGTGATTTTCAGATAAGTCTCTGTGGTTTAAAGTTACAATTGTTACTCTTTTTTTTATTTTTTATTTTATTTTTTTATTTTTGATAATTTACAATTGTTACTCTTTCTATGCCTTGAATTCTTATACCTAATTTAAGTATTTGTACCCTTTCTATGCCTTGAATTCTAATAAGATTAAGGTTAATTGTTTTCAAGCTCAAATGGTTTACATGGTTTTCGTTCTACGAAACCCCTTAAAGTACCCAAAAACCGTTTTTAGTACAGGTTAACATTGAAAGAAATTGAGCATTAGAAGAAGGTCATTATACTTTGTTTTGAAGCATCTGTCTATAACGACTTTGTAACTATCACATCTTATTTCCTGCCACGAAACATGATATTCACGTAGCTAATTGCAATAATAATAGTGATAAATCACACAATTTATTTATTTATTTTTTCAAGATTTGTTAATATTTTGCTTAATTTATTTGAAATTTCTCACAGGTTTGAGCTTGGGCTTCTTATCGTTACTTATTGGTATAACATGGATATACTTTACTATCAAAAAAAGGAAGCTTGTTAAGCTCAGGGAGAAATTCTTTCAACAAAATGGTGGTGTCTTGATGAAACAACAAATTTCTTCCAATGAGGGTGGTGTCGAGTCATCAAAAATCTTTACTGCACAAGAAATGAAAAAGGCCACCAACAACTATGCTGAAGATCGCATCTTAGGCCGAGGTGGTTATGGTACTGTTTACAAAGGTGTTTTGACTGATCAACGTGTGGTTGCAATTAAAAAGTCACGAATAATGGATGAGAGCCAAATTGAGCAATTCATCAATGAGGTGATCATTCTCACACAAGTTAATCATAGAAATGTGGTGAAACTCTTGGGATGTTGTTTGGAGACCGAAGTCCCTCAATTAGTTTATGAATATGTTGCTAGTGGTACCCTCTTCCACCATATCCACAGCAAAGGTGGAATGGCGTGGTTATCTTGGGATAATCGTTTAAGAATAGCCGCAGAGGCTGCAGGTGCACTTGCGTATCTTCACTCAGCAGCTTCAATGCCCATCATACACAGAGATGTTAAGTCTGCTAATATACTATTAGATGAACATTATACTACAAAAATATCTGACTTTGGTGCGTCGAGGTTGGTTCCATTAGATCAGGCTCAAGTGACGACACTAGTTCAAGGGACGTTGGGATATTTAGATCATGAGTACTTTCATACAAGTCAGTTGACAGAAAAAAGCGACGTTTATAGTTTTGGAGTGGTTCTTGCAGAACTCTTGACCGGACAGAAACCGCTATGCATGAAGAGAACCCAAGAAGAAAGAAATTTAGCGACATATTTCATTATGTCGATGAAGCAGAACCGATTGTTCCAAATTCTCGAGGCTCGAGTGGTAAGAGAAGGGACATTGGAACAGCTTCAAACAATTGCTGAGCTTGTGAAAAGATGCATTAATTTGACTAGTAAAGAAAGGCCTACCATGAAAGAAGTAGCAATGGAGTTAGAAGGTTTGAAGAAGTTCACTAAACATCCATGGGTTCATCAACAAAGCCATGAAGAGTCCGTGGGCTTAGTGAGTGAAGAACCAGATCTTTACACAGTGCAAATGAGCCTATATGGTAGTAATGACGGGGAATTATCGGGACAATATCGTTCGGATAGTTGTTTGATTGCTAATGGATGAATAATTCACTTGTAACAAAATCATGAAGTTTTTGTATGCAACTTTTTTTTTTTTTTTTTTTAAATTTCTTTTCTGTTTCCATTTGTCAGTTTTAATTGGTTGCTACTTTTTAAATGGTGAGGCTGGTAAGACTTTTATTTTATAAATTTTCTTTCAATTATTAATATTTTGTGATGATCATAAAGATGATGAAATGTCATTTTTCTAGGTGCTGTTTGATAAAATTGAAAATTAAGTAATAAAAATTTTAAGAGATAAATTTGAGGGATTAAATTTTAAGTGATAATTAAAAAATAAATATTTTTGAATAAACATTTAATTCGTTCAGTGTTTAAGAATTAAACACTGAATTATCTATCAACCAATACCTTGATCGCATAAGTAATGTTGTTATTATTATTATTATTATTTTAATCTCTCATTGTATCAAACATAACCTTAATACCAAAGAGTTCGCGCATGAGAATCTAATGAGCCCAGAGGAGTGCCAAAACCCAAACCATTCTCAGCCCAGATTCTAACCCCAATAGCCCAGGAATATGGACCAACTCTTATTGTGTTAAACAACTCAAAAGGGTTCTTCTGAAACTGAGTTGGGTAGGAGTTATAGTAAAAAGGCTTTTAAAAAAGGACGATGCTTAACTTCGGCAATGTAAGGAGGAGTTTATTTCTTATTCGGATGTGTGGTCCAATGAAATTTCACCGTGTATATAAAAAAATTAAACATGGGTCATACACTTTTATTGGGGGGCAAAAATTAACCTGGCAAATCCCCTGGCTTCTCAACGCCAAACTACCTTTGGGAGCGTTCGAAATTGCCACCCACCACCTAAAGTTCACAAATAAAAACAACTCATTCTTTATATACATATATATGTATATACACTTCGATCAATGGCAGTGATTTTAAAATTAGAGATTCTTTTTTTTACTTTGTTCTTCGTTACAGTTTGTTGTTATCTATAATATCTATTTCCAGAACAACACGTTATTCGGCAAGTTCACTCCAGCGACTTGACTTGTTATCGTTACTTATATTGGTAATAACCTACCGTTTTGTTTTAGACTATAGATTGAGAATTTGCTGGATATAAAGAGAATCATGATCCCAAAAGAAAATAGTCTAATCCATGTTTAATTTTTTAAAACATTTTTTATACACAGATTATAGGGCCACGTATCTTATCATATGTAAAGTGCCTAAAGCAAATGTTTCCCTTCAAAAAATTCTAACAATCTATATCAATTTCCATAAATTCTGGGATAAAAAAAAGAATAAATGAGAGTGTATTCAGTATTTGACATACACAATACATATAAAGGCATTAGGAGATTTCTTGAAAAGTTGCAAGAAATCTCTAAATTTGAGGATTTATTCACATTTCAAAGCTTACTCTTAACTCGATAACTTCCATACAATATTAGTTTGATGTTTTTGTACAAGTTTGTGTTCTAATTATTCGAAGACATCAACACGTACTTCTTTTTTTCCATAAATTAAATTTTTTGATAAATAGACACGAACATGAAATTGTTACAAATTAAATCATGATATTTCAATATTTTGAGATGTTGTAAGTAATTTGATCCCTCCTATCATCACATGATATGAAATCATCTCTTTAGTTGTAAGTCATTGATGAGAATGTGCCTAATGAATGCCGCCTTTTAAGGACTTGAAATTAAACGATCTTGAGAGGTTTCGGCTGGGTTTTGCATGTGGTGCTAGAAACTCTCGTCAACTGTTATGAGGCTTGGGGAGCTAGTGGATGATATTTAGGCTCAACTTTGTAAACTAATGGTAAAGAACTGATTAATGACCACTGGAATTTTGGAACACGATCACATGCATATGAGTTCAATTTGTGAGTTACCTCGGTGCAGAAACTGTTAGTTGATTTAATTATGATTAACTCTTTTAATGACCTAGATGAGATTATTAAATCAATTTAATCACCTAAGCAATATGATCAATTAAACATCCACAATCCCGCCCTGGTTTTTCAAGCTAGTGTATCCTGTAATGAACCGAGTTTGACCCAATAACGGATCTAGATGCGGAAGCAAGAAATAAGACAATGGTCTCCCAAAACACAACACACCCTAAGAGATGACCTTCCATGTGGTCACGGAACCCAAAGGAATAAAGTGCGGAAGCAAGATAAAAAAAAAAAAAAAAAGACAAATAAGCCCCTAGGGGCAAAATAGTTATTTTTGAAAATATGGATTCGGGTGCTACCAAGCACACCGCTGGAAAAACAACAAAAAAATAATCAAGATGGATTCAAGATTCACTTGATTTGGAGTCCGGATGAAGAAGATATGAAACTCTAAAGTTTCAAAAAAAATAAACTTTTGAGTTTCAAATCAGTGCGGCAAGGGTACTTGACAAGGAGTAAAATAGTCTTTTCAGATAGAATTGAATGTAACCATGCATACCATTGGATAGACAAGGAAAAATTAATGAATTTAGAATCAAAAATCATTTGATTCGGAATCCGAACAAAGAGATATGAAACCCCAAAATTTCAAAAAAATAAACTTTTGGGTTTCAAATCAATGCAGCAAAGGTACTTGATAAGGGGTAAAATGGTCTTTTTAGATAGAATTGGAGGCAACCGTGCATACCATTGGATAGATAAGGAAAATTTAATGAACTTAGATTCAAAAATCAATTGATTCGGAGTCCGGACGAAGAAGATATAAATCTTCAAAGTTTCATAAAAATAAATCCAAAATGGTGCTTGTGCTGCTAGGCAAAAAAAAAAAAAAATCGGCAGTCTTGGGATTTTTCTGAAACTGCTACAACAGAGAGCTAAAACGGATCAGTAAACGAATTTTTTTGGAAAAACACAAAAAAGAAACCCCTCCCGAAATCGAGTTTTCTACCTGGATTCGTGAGAGAAAATGAAAAAAACACACTATGAAATATCCAAAATACCCCTAGATCAATAAAGGGTTAAAAACTCAGAAAATGCAACTTTGCACCAAGTATGCATTTGATCCTAAATGCATTTCTAGGTTGAAACGAATGTCCACGCAAGTGTAATAAATGATTCTAAGCGCGCGGGAATAGTCCGCAACTCCCGCGAAGCCCCGACTCAAAATCCGACCCCCCGATGGCCAAAAATTAGAAAAATGGACTTAAAATGGAAAATTTGAAATCCAAAAATATAAAATAGAGTCAAATTACCATTTGGCCCTTGGTCACACTTCATACATGATTAAAAAGACCCTATGGAAGAATAAAATTGGAATTCCCACACCCGATGCAACCATGGTGAAACAATGACTTGTGACTTTTCAATATTTTCATAATATTTCATGAAGTCAAAAATTACATAGGATACAAAATAATAGTCATTGGCCTTCGGTCTCATCTCATACATGTCAAATACATCGTAAAAAGTGTACTTATGTACACGTTACATATATGGAATCAAAGATACAAAATTTGATATTTAAGGTTAAAAAATGACATTTCATGCTAACATTTACATGAAATGGAAACTTAAAAGGTACAAGTCATCCAAGGAATGATAAGCATTACGAACCAAGTCTTCGTACCTGAAATAGGTCGCGTTCAGCAAGGGGTGAGTATTCTGTGGTACTCGTAGGGAATGAACATGCATAGACCTAACATTTTACAATATCATTACCTTAAGGTGAAACATGTTAAAGGGGCTCATGCTACCTAACGTCTATGTCAAAGTGAGACTCAGGGATCATCCTAAGTTACATAAGCGGTTGAAATAAAATACACGACATGCAAGCATACTGAATACAAGTGTACTAAACGAAAATGAAAACATACGAGGCAAGTATACAAAACGCAAATATTCTAAACGGGATCGGAAACACACAAAGCAAGTATACGAGACACGAATATACTAAATGGAATCTAGATACAAGAAGTAAGTGCACAGTTTCAAGTATGCTAAATGAGATCTAAATACACGAAGCAAACATAACGTCTATGTAATTAATAAGGTTGGAACATTCCAAATGACACGAAAAAATTCTTAAGTCTTCAAGGAATCACCCTTGAAACTTAAGGATGAAATCAACGACACGAAAAGGTGGTTAAGTCTTCAAGGAATAACACTTGAAACTTAAGAAAATCAATGACACAAAAAGGGTCTTAAGTCTTCAAGGAATAACACTTGAAACTTAAGGATGGAATCAATAACATGAAAAGATGCTTAAGTCTTCAAGGAATAACACTTGAAACTTAAGGATGAAATCAATAACACGAAAAAGTGCTTAAGTTTTTAAGGAATAACACTTGAAACTTAAGGAAATTAATGACATGAAAATGTTCTTAAGTTTTCAAGGAATAACACTTGAAACTTAAGGATGAAATCAAACGATGTGGATACTCAGATATTGCTCGGATTAAAACTGTACTCATTGTAGGGAGCTCTCTATCTCTCGTACTAAAACCAAGTCCTAGTCATGTCAATACTTGTTTAATATCCCAAGTCCCAAAATCGACAAGTTGTGAAAATCAAGATGTAATATATATATATATATATATATATATATATATATATATATATATATATATATTCAATGCACGTAGCCAAGTACTATGCATAACGAGTCATGGAAGTCACACAAGGTATGCATTAGGCATTTAAGCTACAACGGCACACTAAATGTCATATAAGTAAATGTGTACACTAGCAAGTTAAGTCACAACTTCAACTCACGAAATACTACCATGTGATCATATAGCAAGTCCCCCAAATCATAAGTTTGACAAGAGTTCAACATCAAATCATAATTAACTTGATGGATGCATAAAAGGGAATTTAATCAACTTAAATGATTAAATTCTCAAGACTACAAGGCAACTCTAAATATTCTACGAACAAGATATGTCAAGGATCATGTCAATGATAAGTTTAATATCAAGTTACAAATTCATTCCAGGTAAGATATAACCATGTGACTTAAATTCCATACAAAGGAAATAATTAAATATAAGTCTCAAAACTTATCCGATTATTCTCTATTTGATACACGTAAAAGAACTTGTCAAGGAAATCATGAATACCAAGTTAGAAACTTAATCAAACTCATGGAACCATTGAATAGATTTTAATTAATTCATTTAATTAAAATCTCTAGATTTTAAAACTCATCCAAATACTCTCAAATTAAAGTATGTTATAAAACATGTCAAGACTTGATTTAATAGCATAATACAAGAAATTTTTATGCAAGATACAACTATGATG